CTTCTAGACTCTATAGATACTTGTGGGTACACATATGCACACAAACAATAAAACTGATTTTTTTTTTTTTTTTTTTTTTTGAGACAGGATTTTCTGTGTAGCCTTGGCTGTCCTGGACTTGCTTTGTAGCTGGCCTCAAATTCACAGCAATCTACCTGCCTTTGCCTTCCTGAGTGCTGGGATTAAAGGAGAAGGTTGTGCCACCATGCTTGGCTCAGTTTTTTTGTTTGTTTTTGTTTTTTTTTGAGATAGGTTCTATAAAGCCTTGGCTGTCCTGGAACTCACCATTTAGACCCAGTTGGCCTCAAACTCAGAGATCTGCTTGTCTCTACCCATGGAATCCTGGGATTAAAGGTGCGTATCACAAACAGCAAAAAAGTTAAAAAAAAAAAAGTTCAACAGAACTTAGTATATTGGGGGCACAACACAATTCTATGATGTTTACCTTCTAGGCTTTGATTAGCTCTAGAGACTGAAGATCTAATATAAAAATAAGTAGGACCAATAATCAAGCAAGACAAAAATAAAGGCCCCTTGACTTACACTGTGCTGGAGTGGTAGGAACCCTCACAGATTCAAGTGTTTGAATGCTTGGTCAAAGGGAGTGGCACTATTAGGAGGTGTGACCTTGTAAGAATAGGTGTGGCTTTGAGGAAGTGTGTCACTGGGGGTGGGCTTTGAGGTTTCAGATGCTCAAGCCAAGGACAGTGCCACTCTCTTTTCCTGCTTGTATGCTGATGATGATAATGGACTAAACCTCTCAACTGTACAGCAACCCAAATTAAATGTTTTTCTTTATAAGAAAGTGATTACACAGAGAAACCCTGTAGTGAAAAACCCAACCCAAACAAACCAAATCAAAACAACAACAAAAACAATTATAATTCAGCACAGGCTGGAGAGATGGCTCAGTGGTTAAGAGCACTGGCTGCTCTTATAGAAGACCTGGGTTCAATTCCCGGCACCTACATGGCAGCTAACAATTTTCTGTAGCTCCAGTTCCAGAGAATCTGACACCCTCATACAAACACACCTGCAGGAAAAACACCAACGCGCTTAAATATTAGCTTAAAATTTTCAGCTGAAGCGGAGTGTGGTGGCACAGGCTTTTAATTCCAGCACTCAGAGAGGCAGAGGCAGGCAATTCACTGTGAGTTTGAGTCCAGGCTGGTCTACAATTGAATCCAGGACAGCCAAGGCTACACAGAAAAACCTTGTCTCGAAAAACAAAAGCAAAACAACAAAAAATCAGCTGAACACAAAACAAATTAAATGCTATTTTTATAAACTTCTTGTGTTATTTATTTATTTTTTCCTTGTATGTTTTGGTCTCTTTCTGTGAGGGTTTTTTCCCCCCTCTTGTTTTTGTTTTTATTTTCTGCATATAGGTGTTTTGCCTGCATGTATATCTGTACAATGGCAGCAAAAGCCGGAAGAGGATGTCAGATCCCCTAGGACTGGAGTTACAGATGGCTGTGAGCTGACATATGGGTGCTGGGAACTAAACCCAGCTTCTCTGCAAGAGCAGCTACTGCTCTTAAATACTGGGCCGTCTCTTTCTTAAAAAAAGAGGGGGGGGGAAAAGCCAGGGGTGGTGACGCATGCCTTTATACATAGCACTTAGGAGGCAGAAGCAGTCATATCTCTGTGAGTTTGAGGCTAGCCTGGTCTACAACTCGAGTCCAGGACAGCCAGGACTACTACACAGAGAAACCCTGTCTCAGAAAAACAAAAGAAAAAAGAAAGGAAAAATAGAACATAAAGTTGGGTAGGTAGGAAGGAATTGAGAAAAAAGAAAATGATAAAAATACTACATGAAAATTTTGTTCAGTTAAAAAATACTTAGTTATAAAAATAAAATATAACTCTCCAAAGGTCAGTGTCAGCAGAACTAAACTTACTATATGAATTATATAAAATTACAATATATATAATTTTGCTTAGAATGTAGCTCGGGGGGGCTGGAGAGATGGCTCAGAGGTTAAGAGCACTGACTGCTCTTTCAGAGTACCTGGGTTCAATTCCCAGCAACCACATGGTAGCTCATAACTGTCTATAAGTTCAAGATCTGACACCCTCATGCAGACATACATACAGGCAAAACAAAAACGCACATAAAATAAAAATAAATAAATTATTAAAAAAAAAAAAAGACGGTAGCTCAGGTTGTTGGAATGCTTTTGCCTTGCTAGTATACAAAGTCCAAAAGATTTCCAACACCACACAAGCAGATGTGCTTACGTAGGTCCGTAATCCCATCTATGGAGATGGGAAACAGGGAGTGCACAGTGCACTGAAGGCCAGCCTGGGACAAAGGAAGCTCTGTCCAGGAAAAAAAAAAAAAGTGCATAATAATTTGAAATAGTTTGTCTATGTCTGGGGAATTCTCCCCTCCTAGGATAAAAGTTCCTGGTAGAATTCCCTGGGGGAAAGAATTGATGACGAGGTATTAAATTTTCTTTAGGCAGATAAGGGAAATTCAGAAAGTCTTAACCCATTCTCCTGTTTGTAATCAACATATCAAAAGCAAAATATTTGAGGGTGGCTTTTATTGAATGCTTTCAGTGGCTGCTAGCTTTAATAAGTGATTCAAGTATAAATGCTAGAAACAAGTAATTGATTATAAATGAAATAAAAAATTATAAGTTAGCAGGCTGTGGTAGTGTTCATCTTTAAGACCAGCATTTGGGGAAGCAGCAGCAGGCTGGATCTCTGAGTTCAAGGTCAAACTATTCTACAAAGGAAGTCTAGGACAGCCAAGGCTACACAGAAATACCTTTTCTCAAAACTTTTTTTTTTACAAATTAATATTTTAGAAATCTGTTTTGGGTGGCTATGGTGGCATATGCCTTTAATTCTAGCATTCCAGAGGTAGAGGCAGAGGCAGAGGCAGAGGCAGAGGCAGGTGGATTTCTGAGAGTTTGAGGTTGGATTGGTCTATATATCAAGTCCATGCTAGCCAGGGCTACATAGTAAGATCCTGACTCAAAAAACAATAGAAAAAAAAAAAATAACCAAATTCAAAAAAGACAAAGAAAAACCTGCAACTTTCCAGTAACTTTACATCTTAAAACTGTGTCAATATATATTTATAAAATTTGTAGTTTTTTTTTTTGTTTTGTTTTGTTTTTTCTTTTTCGGAGACAGGGTTTCTCTGTGTAGCCCAGGCTGTTCTGGACTCACTTTTTAGACCAGGCTGGCCTCAGATTCACAAAGATTCACCTGTTTCTGCCTCCCAGAGTGCTGAGATTACAGAGTGTGCCACCATACCCGGAAATTTCTAAGTTTTCCTTAGATCTTTTTTGTGTCTGTATATGTTCTCCTGTCACAGCATACATGTGTATGTAGACCAGAGAACAACCTTTGAGAGTCAGTTTTCTCCTCTCCCCATGTGGTCTTGGAGATTGAGCTCAGATCATTAGGCCTGACAATAAACTAATGAGCTTAGCCATCTTGACATCTCTGCCCCAGATTTTTAACAAGAGAGTTGGGCTCCTCTGCATATAGCACCCCAGGATGAAGAGAATACCTTGGACCCTATGTTCCCTGGTCTTTATAGTATTTAGACAGTATTAAGTGTCTGTCTCATGGTAATTTATGTCTATTATCCCAGCATTCTGAAAATTAAGACTGAACTGCTGTGAGTTCAAAGCCACCTGGGCTACAGAGGGAATACCACGCCAGCCTGGATTTTGCAGTGAAAATATGTTCAAAACCAAAAAACAACAATGAAAAAGTTCTGTCTCTTTGAGAGAGCAGGGATCCAACATTGGCAGGACCAGCATTCATACCAAAAGCAGGAGCCATGAGACCTGCCCAGTGGACAGGGGTTAAGGACTGGGCCTGTGGTCACCCTTTTAAAGAATAAACAGAAGCAACAAAGCTGAAACGCCTTAGTTGTGCCAGTGCTAGGACCGCGTGTGTGCCATCTGCCTAATCTAACTAAAGTGCTTCTTGGTTTGTCAGGCAGGGTCAGGACGTCCCTTCCACACCCTGGATGGCCTCGAGCTCCCTAGACAGACTAGACTTGTCCCAAACTTGTGGTAATTCTCCCGTGTTTTTCCATCCTCACCGTAGACTAATGGTGCACCTTAATCCTGCCCCCTACCCCCAGCAGTACGGGACAGCACGAATGCCACAGTAGGCACGCAGAGGTCAGACAACGGGTGAGAGCAGTTCTCGCCTTTCACTCCTTAGGGCCTGGGGACAGAACTTTCAGGGGAGAAGCAGCTTTACCTGCTGAGCCGGCCCCAAGTGCATCCTTTAATAGTTCGCTCACCAATTTAGAACCTGCTCTAATGGAAACCTTGGTGCCTGACTTCCTTGGGTCTGGAGCCCTTTTCTACCGTCTCTGACTGACCCTTCTGGGTTTCAGTCCGGTAATAAAATAGCATTTGGTCTTCTAGTTCTCCCTCCAGGCTTCCCTTCCTCACACCCACCACTCAGCCCTCGGTCAGCTTCTCCTCACGCTCCCATCTTCCCATCCGGTTCGTGCAGTCTTTCCCTCTCTTCCGGCCTCACGTGGCTCTAACCCTCTCTTTTGGCCTCTCCGGGTCCCCAGAAGCGTTCCTTTCGTCTTCTGGCCGGAGGGGCAGCCCCCGAATCCACTCGGCCACACATCTCTCTTGGGACCTTCCGAGGCTCGGCCGTTGGAGGAGGCGTGGCCCACGAATAACAGGTTCCTCGCCCCACACTCCGCGGGCCCGCGCGCAGACAAAGACATTCCACAGCGCCCGCCCTCTCCGCGCACTCCGCCTGGAGGGGGGGGGGGGGGGGGGGAGTGCGTGGAGGAGGGGGGAAGACACGTGTACCGCTAGCTCCGAGTCACGTGGAAAAGAAAAAAAAAGAAACGAACGAAGGCGGCGGGCGCCCGCGCAGGCGCAGTAAGCTCGGAGCCCGAGCCGGGAGGCTACGTCTTTAGTCGGCGCAGGCGCCGTGGCCCGGCTGGGGACTTTGTTCTCCGCGGAGAAACTCAAGGGCGGTGCCGGTAGACTCCTGCGCATGCGCGCCGCCTCACTTCCGGTGCTCTCTCGCTGGGTCGCTCAGGTCGGCTTCGGTCGCCGTCGCTCCCGCTCTTCCACCCCCGCCAACCGCCGCTCGGGCCTCAGCAGCCGCCGCGTCGCTTCCTCGCTCGCACGCCACACATTCTCCCCGATGCAGCGCCGGGACGACCCTGCCGCGCGCCTCACCCGGTCCTCGGGCCGCAGCGGCTCCATGGACCCCTCAGGTGTCCACCCCTCGGTGCGTCAGGCCCCGTCTCGGCCGCCGCCGCTGCCCCACCGGTCCCGGGGAGGCGGAGGTGGTCCCCGAGGGGGCGCTCGGGCTTCGCCCGCCACGCAGCCGCCGCCGCTGCTGCCTCCCTCGGCTACAGGTCCCGACGCCACTGTGGTGGGTTCCGCGCCGACCCCGCTGCTGCCCCCGTCTGCCACAGCCGCGGTCAAGATGGAGCCGGAGAACAAGTACCTGCCTGAACTCATGGCTGAGAAGGACTCGCTCGACCCGTCCTTCACTCACGCCATGCAGCTGCTGTCCGTAGGTAAGCGGGTCTCGGCGCACCCACGGGTCTCTCAGTCCTGGCGCTAGGTGGCCGCCGCTTTGTTCCTCTTGCTCCCGCCCCCTCGGAGCCCGGGCATCGAGAGTTCTCATCTGGCCCTGGAGCCACGGTCCCACCCCGGCTCAGGGTTTCAGGGGAGGTTTCTCAGCCGCGGTGAGGCCGGTGGAGGACCCGCCATCTCCGAGCGGGAAGAGCTTGATGGATAGGACTGAGCTCCCGCCCCTTTCCCGACCCCGTCTTCCCCTCCCGTAGTAGTTGCCCGGCGCGCCACGGACCAGCTCTTTCTGCAGAAATGGAACTCCCTCTCCCCGCTTTCCCAAAGGGAAACATTTTATTTTTTGGCTTGCGGTTGGTAGAGCGTGGCTTGATCCGAGGTGTAGGAGGTAAAGAGACGGCCAGAATGCTGGTCCCACGCGGCGCCTTTTACGGAGCGATGCGGGACTTAGCTGGATGTTAAGTTACTCAGAGGCCGGAGCATCGAGAGAGAATCGGGAGGTTGAGGTTTTCTCAAGCCAAGTTTTCCATTTCGGCCTGTCGAATAAGAATTGCTGCAGACACGGACGGTTTTTCTCCTTTATTTTAAAATGTGTCTTCGCAGTTAAGCAACGTGGGGGAAAGTAACCCAGGAGACCGTGGAAAGGAATGCTAGAGGGAGGTAAGGGACTGTAGGTTGTTTGGCGTGAGATGAATGAGAAATTGGTCTTTTTGTTTTAGTTTCTGCTTGAGTAGAGAGAGAGTTTAAGAATGGTAGCCTTTGTTCTTTGCTTGTAGACTAGCGAGTTCTCTTTGACTTCAATGACTTAGTTTTCTAATTCAGACCATGTGTTTGACCCTCTCGTAGTTAAGACATGGTTTTAATAAATATTTTTTTGGTATCAAAATCTTATTAAGCATATAAGACCCACAGTCGTTCGCTGACCGAGTAGTTGGACTCTGGCCAGAATGATACTGTGGACAGTTCATTGTGAAAACACCATTATCTGATGAGAGTTGGATCAGTGGTTAAGAGCACTCACTCCATGCTATTCCATAGGGCTTCAGTTCCCAGCACCCACATCCCATGGCTCACAAACACCTGTAACTTCAGCACCGGGAAATCTGATTTTCCCTCTGTCCAATACACGAACTCAAATACAAACCTGAAAAGAATAAAAGGAAAAGACTATTTTTCTCCATTTATTTTTCTGCCTCCCAGCATCGTTGAAGGAGCTTTACTGTTTTTACAATGAAAAAAGTCATTGACTGCAGAAGAATAACTTAAAGATGTGTTTTTATTTATAGTCAGATGTAAAAACAAGTGAGTCTTAAAGCACAGAGAACAAACCCTGTGGTCAGTAAAAACAAACATCAATAGTTTGCATTTCAGCTTAGTGTTTTCTTTTCTGCAACATACTCAGGTTCGTATGTTTCTGTTTGCTGTGTTCTGACAACTTATTTACCGGTAAAGACTTTAATATTTCTCCTCTTCCTCCTCCTGCTCCTCCTTTTTTAGTTTGAGACAGGTCTCAAGTTGCTGGGGCTGGGGTGGCACTCACTATGAGCTAGCTATTGATGGCCTTGAACTTCTGTTCGTTCTGCCTCTACCTCCACAGTTTGGGAGGTGTGCACCATCAGACTCAGTGCAGTGCCTAGGATCAAACAGCATTATACAAACTGATCTTCATATTCTGGCATTATCTTTTATATTTATTTTGTACTGGCTTGCAAATAACAAACTACCAAACACTGGGGGAAAGTACCTGTAGACTGAAGACTGTCACTATGGTAAAGGTTGAGTTGGTGCTAGTTTTTTTTTTTTTTTTTTAATTTTCTCAAATCTCTATAACCTGTCAAATTAATTGCAGGAAAATTAATATCGGTTTTAAGATGTTTACTTTGGAAACTGATCCCTAACTAGTTACTTTATCCTGAGAAACTTTAAAAATCTCAGCAGCTTCATCTGTAAAGTGGTGAGTGTGAAAACTGAGTTTGATGTAAAATCAGACCATTAACTTATACTCACTAGATAAAGTGTCACCAGTTTTCTTCTGATTATACATTCCTGTATACACAAGGTATAGTTTGGCCTTCAAGTGCTGGTGGTCATCCTCTTTTAAAACATGTTTTCTGGGTTAGCAAAAATTTGATTCTCAAATGTTACTTTTGAACTTTGCAGTCACAGTTCTTGTGGTTACCAAGAGAACATTTTGATTAGTGTATATTTTTTAAGTTAAGCCCTTTTTCTGCCTTTGCCCTTTATTTTGTGCTAGTGTCTAAGTATGTAGACCAACCAGGCCGGCCTTGAATTTACAGGAATCTGCCATGCTTTTAGCTTTTTTTCTTAATGTTTTTATTTTCTGTATATGAAGTGTTTTGCCTATGTGTGCGCAGATTGTGTGCCTCTTGCCTGAGGATGGCCAGTAGAGAGCATCAGTTCCCCTGGAAACTGGAACTGAAGGTGTGGAGCTTGTGGGTGCTGGAATTTGCAGGTGCTGAGAATTGAGCCTGTGTCTTCTGGTGGAGCAGCCAGTGATCCTCTAACTGCTGAGCTGTCTCCCCAGCCTCTTTCCCTTAGCTTTTTGAAACAGGGTCTCATTTAGCCCAGGTGGTTTTCTAGCTCTGTATGACTCTCTATATGATCTATTCTCCTAGTGCTAGGATTATAGTTGTGTACTACCAATTCTGTTCCAAACTGACATTTCTATTGGAGAAATAGGATTGAGATAAATGTTGGCTTAGTGAGGTGCCAGCATTGGGATGTATGGAGATTTTTCTTAGTATGCATTTTAATTTATTTATTACTGTTTTTTTGAGGTTTTGCTAAATAGCCTGGTCTGTCCTTGAAATTACTATATATCCCCAGTTGCTTGTAGCAGTGATTCTGGCTCAGGTTTTTCAGTTATGTTGATCTCTCTTTCCTTAATTGGTGACTTAACTCGTGGGTTTTATGCCTTGCACATGCTTGTTTTATAACTTTTTTCTTCAGGTGGAGCATGGTAGTACACACTTTAATCCCAGCACTCTTGAGGCAGATCTCTGAGTTCCAGGCCAGTCGGGGCTACATAATGAGACCATGTCTCAAAAACCTTAAAACAACAGAATTTATATTTGTTTGTGTAGGGCAAAGGGGCATGTCATGGGCCCATGGAAGTCAGAATGTCAGGGTGTCAGTTCTTCTCTACTGTGCTGATGTAGATCAAAATGGAGCTCAGGTTGGGGCTCCACTGAGAGATGGCTCAGTGGTTAAAAGCACTTGTTCTTGCAGAGGACCTGGGTTCAATTCCTAGCACCCATATGGTGGCTCGCAGCCATTGGTAACTCAGGTGGTAGGAAATCTAACTCCCTCTTCTAAATTCTGAGGGCACCAGGCATATATGCAATCAAAACACTTATATTATAAAATCTTTAAAAAGATAGAGCTCAGGTCATCTGTCAAGCTTGACATGAAGCAAGCATCTTTACCCTCTGAACCCCCTGACCAGCCCTTAAAAAAAGTTAATGAGATGCTCTCATTAACTTGTCCTTCAGACTGGCTTGGGACTCACTTGATAGCTTAGGCAGGCTATGTACTTTTTATCCTCACACAGAACAGAAACAGACATTTTAGTTCTGGAGCTGCATCCCCAGCCTTTTTGTTTTACAAGGTCTTAGCAAGTAGCTCAGGCTGCCCTCCAACTTGACTCTTTTTGCCTTCTTCATGAATAAGATTATAGCCATGCCTGTCTTATAATGTGAGGTTTAAGATATTTCTAAATAATTCAGAAAAAGCAAAAACATGAGGAAGATTGAATTTAAGTTGAATTTAAGCTCTAGAAAGGACACATGTAAGGAAAAAACCACTACTATTTATTGTGCTGGGCAATGGATTGAGAATATTTAGTTTTTTTGTTTTTTAATTTATTTTTATTTAGGTGTGTGTATGTGTATATAGAGCTGCTTCTTGGAAGCTAGAAGAGGGCATCAGATCCTCTGGAGCTAGAGTTACAGACATTTGTATGAACTGCCTGATAGTGGGTGCTGGGAATTGAACTCAGGTCCTCTGGAAAAGCAGTAAGTGCTCTTAACCACTGAGCCATTTCTCTAGCCCATATTTAACTTTCACAACGCCTATGAGAAGATAATTTTTTTTTCTTTTCTTTTCTTTTTGAGACAGGGTTTCTCTGTGAAGTCCTTCTGGCTGTTCTAGAACTTGATCTATAGACCAAGCTGTCCTTGAATTCAGATCCACCTGCCTCTGCCTCTTGATGGCTGAGAATCAGATAATCTTATTACTATTACAGACAAGGACATCAAGACACACGATAATAGTTGGCTAAGCTAACAAAATTAGCAGTATAAAAAGGATTTACAATCAATCTACATTTGATTCACACACTTGACTTTTTTTCTCTTGAACAACTAAAAGTTTTTTCTTCACTCCTTCATTATATACTACCTGCTACAATTTGAATTTTAAAAAGAAAGATCTCATTGAGTGAAATAAGAAAGGTATGAGAAAGTCTAGAGTGCTGGTAAAGAAGTGAAGATGAAGAAGCTGACTTAAAGAACACTAGAGATCAGAGCCCAACACTTAGCCTTATTCTGTGCATCTCTCTCTTCATTCCCTGAAAAGTGTATGAGACCCGACCACGGTTCCTGTTACCACCACACAGCTCTCCCTTACTCTTATGCAGTTTATTTTGTATTTATTGTCTTCTGGTGTAGTGTGTGTGTGTGTGTGTGTGTGTGTGTGTGTGTGTGTGTGTGTCACACACCTGGGGATGTAGGGGACAGGATCTTTTGCACAGTGGTGACTGTCCTGGAATTCACTGTGTAGACCAGTCTGGCCTCAAACTTACAAGAGATCTAACTGCCTATCTCCTGAGTGGCATTAGCCACCATGCCTGGCTGTAATTATGTGTCAGATACACAATTTGCAATGATCTTTTGTCTCTCTTTTTCACCATTGTTTTCCTCTTTCTTGGAAGGGCGCTTCCCAGAGTGGCCTCATACTTTGTTATAAA